CACTCCCACTTTAACATTAGTTTTGAGTTGAGATAGCCAAATTGGTGGCCATGGCCTGCAAATACCGGTTTGGGCACTCACAACATCGACAAATGCTTTAATTCGGAGATATGGAATTTCAAACTTGCAGTTTTCGGATTCTAAGGGGCTAGTGCATTGGTATGCCCCATTAGAATTTGTGACGTCAGCGGAGATCTAACGATTTTTAAATCTTTTACTAAAACGTTTGGTAGCACGCGGTGGTATATGCTGCTTTGCGCGCAACAAATGCCGCACTTTCAAATAAAGTCGCTAGGAACAGCGGAGATCCCAAAAAGTAAACAAAAGTAAAAGTATAATATCTTGAAAACCGGTGAATATTTTTCGATGAAATTTGGTAGATATTCGTTTTCGCTCTTTCTGAACCGAGCGACATCACTTTCGTGCCAATTCATTAGCTTTTTTTAAGGTGGGAGGGTCCCTTTAACTTGCGATATTTTTGAAGGGTAATTGCATCTCCTCTATGAAGCATTTGACCACTGTCGATGCACAAAAGAAGCGACAAGTTTGTTCCTATTACAACGCTGCAATTTCTGAGGCAATGACACTGAAACGTTGCTTATGGGTAGGCACTCACCGCGTAATGCATTTCCATGTATCACGGTTGGGGTGCTACTGCACGTGAGCTCGTGCAGGGCCAGGGGTCGCCTTCACCATTCCAGAACGGCTGGGCTGATTACGCTAAAATTTGATACTTTTAGGTACCAGTGAGAAGGGTGCCGTGCAAAAGTTATTTTCGACCCAGTTTGTACGTGCGCTCGTGCATGAGGCCACTTCCACATCTAAAAAAAAATTGGCCGATACCCTTCAAATTTGGCACACCGGTAGACATCGGTTAGTAGAGTGCCGTGCACAAGTCATTTCAAAACCCCTAACGCACTTCCGCAAGTGCGGGGCTTACCTTTGCGCTCGCTCGTTTGTCTCCCCCAAACGCGTCTTACTGGCGTAATTCACTGGTGATACCTTCAATGTTCAGTAGGTATTCACCTATAATCTCCTATCTGATCCACCCAATATATGTATAAACTGCGGCTCATGACTCATGCAGTAGGTATTATGTAGTCGGCCTTATGCACACAGGTGAATGAATCATCATGGCGCTATCTCATATTGAGCTTCAACTGTGATAGTCGTCACTCAACCTGCCACGTGCCTAACGGCTGACGGTAGCTGAATCTAATCACAATACCTATATAAGACGCTGAAGACAATCTTGACCTTTAAACTTAGATGGTTCGACAATGAGCTGTTGGTGGTATTGCGCAAGCATGAAGTAGATAGGTAGGTATATGCCTATATCAATGCATCTGAATTCTTATGACTCACCAGCCAGAACAGCCAATAACCCGCGACCGCCTGGGGGGGGGGTCGGATCCGACCCCCCCTCCGTTTTTCTTGAATAACTCATGAACCGCTTTCGCTATCAACTTGAAACTTCGCATACCTTCTCCCCCATCAATTTGACGTCTCTTGTGCAATTTTTAAGAAAATTTTTTCAAAAATTTCTGAGATATATTGATTTTAGTGATGTAACTACATGGCGTTTTCTGTCAAAAAATGGTAAATGTTTAAAAAATCGCCAAAAATCGAGGTTTTAAGCAAATTGCAAATTAAGGACATGAAAAGACGCAGCTCAACGAGTTCTTTAAAATGGCTATCTCGGATTTTCCATAAAATGCGTTTTTCACCCCTAAAAATTCAAAAAACTATATTTTTTGGAAAAAAGCTAATAAAATCCAAAATTTTGAGAATTTCCAAAAAACCGGAATATATGTTATAGAGCCCTATTAGAACATTAGATGTCCCAAATTTCAACTTTCTATCTTGATTTTTGACCCCCAAATTGTAAAAAATAGCTCCAACATGCATAGGGCATGGTGACGTCATAAGCATTTTCGCGAATTAGAGGCACTTCTGAACATCGCATGTGAAAACAAATGGCACCACTAGATTCCTGGGACAAAACTCGTCTAGAAAAGTGCATTTTTATGTCAAAAATAAAAAGTTGAAAAATTGACCTTTTTTCTCAGCCCTCGTTTAGTATAAACGATTTTTTATGCTTTCAATGCACACTTATCACCAGCACAGTGACTTGGGGTCACATATAACCATTACCATCGGATTTGGCGTGAAAAATAAGCCATAAAACATGTGTCGCACGCCCATGTAGCAGAAAGTGAAAACCGTGACCTTTCGTGACCTGACCTGACCTTGACCCGTACTTAGTATGACCCCTATACGCACATGGTACCTTCACTAGGTCTTTGAGGTCATTTGTGGTGAGTTTCGAGCAGCAACTATCGATTCCGCTGTCCGTAAGCCTCATCATGCAAAACCCCTGAATTTGACCTTTGACCTGACCTTGACCCGAAAGTTGACCTCAATCTTAAAATCTTAAGAGTGCTTTGGGAAGGTCTCGTAGAGACCTTTCGAACGCCGCCTCGCGGGGCTCGATACGACCATTGGTTCTCGAGATAACAGGGGGGGGTCGGATCCGACCCCCCCCCCCCAGGCTGATGTGGGTACGGAAATAGCCCAGGCGGTGCCGGGATAAGGGGCGATAAAGGTAAAGCATGATGATGATTCGCTAGGTTATCGAAGGATTTACAGCACAATGCGTTTTGCGCCAATCATTACGCTCGTACAAACCACATCCGGCGTGTATCATCACCATCCGGTCAAAAATGTCAAATTTTGAAGTTGCAATTTTCAATTTGAAGTTGAAGTTCAAGACTCTGGCTCCAAGTATGTTTTTCGAACAAGGAAGTGTTTAGCGAGCAAAACGAGCAAAAACTGAACCTGAGAAAATCGAACGTCGACTAATTTTAACATGTGATTTCTTCCCGATGATTTCCATGTGTGCGTTTTGGAACCAGATATGAAAACAGTGGTGACGTCATGCTGTCGAACTTATATTGCAATGTAACGTATAACTATCATGGACGGAACCGCTTGCTCGATTATAACCTCGGCAAAAGTGAAAAACGAAGTTTCACCTCACTTCGTCGACACTTTGTCCCATTGCACGGACATTTGGGTGCCTACTGCCTGCTGCTACCAAAGCCGTCATCATTGTATGCTCAATTTTAACCCGCGCACCGACGGGGGTCTGCGCCAACTTCGCACCGACGGGGGGGGGCGGATGACCGCCCCCCCCTGAGATCTCGAGAACGAAGCAAGATAGCGACAAGCGGTAAGCGGCATCGGATACGCACGGCCAAGATCTACAATTTTTACAAAGGTCATTTTCAGGTCAGGTCAAAGATGACGTCACAGGGGTCGAAAAAGTCAAAATGGCGGCGCCAGATATGGAGAGAGTTTTTCTCGAATAACTTTCGAATTAGTCAAGATAGGAACAAACTAAGGGCATCATCGTGATCCTCTCGTCAATCCGCATCGAATGATATATATGTTGACCTCGAAAGGTCAAGGTCAAAGGTTGACCTCAGGTCACGTGACCTCGAGGTCATCATGTATATCATTCGATGCGTCTTGACGAGCTGAACACAATGAGACCATCCACGCGTCTGTATCTTGTTCCTGTACGGAGTTATTGGCCAAAAACCTTTGGTGACCTTTGATGACGTCACATGACCTCACAGCTGCCCAACAGCAAAACAGACCTCAAGGTAGTGAAGGTTGATCGTATATGAAGTCATGTATGGTATATGGGGCCATTCCGACCCGTTTTAGTGGTAAAAACAGGGAGTTGATTTTTCCCCCATTGACTTATAATGGGGAGGTCGCGAAATTGACCTGACCTTAGGTCACCGATATCAAAATTCCGAGATATACAAATTGTAGCTACTAATGACCTAATAATATCCTGCGACTTTCAAAGGCCTCCGACATCTACTGTAGCTCTGGCACGGTGACAAAGTTGCAAAAAAGTGACTTGAGGTTGGGTCATTCAAAGTGACCTGGTGACCTGACCTTAAAAGGTAGGAGGTTCAAACTTGCACACCATGTGTAAAATTGATGAGGTTATAGTCATACCAAATTTCGCGGCGCTACGCGCCGCGGTTTTCCCGCTATTCGCGAAAAACCTCAGGGGGGGGGGGGCGGATATCCGCCCCCCCCCGTCGGTGCGCGGGTTAAGACACAATTTCCAGCTACTTGCCGTGCACAATTTGAAATCGATTATTTTTTCGGTAAGAAATTTTTGGCCCGACACTGAAGCTCTGCCAGACACTGAAGAGGACACAGACACTGAAGCTGAAGTAGTTTCTATGCCTTGCTGAAGCTGCCAATACTCTAGTGAGAGCTTCGCATGAACTTGGAGCAAGCGTCCTTATGAAGAAGAAAAAAAAAACGAACTATATAATAGCATAATATAGATTTGAGAATTTCATAAACATGCTTAAGAAGCACGTTTATAAAATTCTCAAATCTATATACGTAAGCCTAAAACGTATATGCTTTAGCCTTACGTAAGTGGTAAACCCTTAGATAAAATAAATTAATTTAATAATTAGTAGAAAAACAGCAAAATAACACGTCACTGACTCGAAAGGTGGAAAACCGACTATAAAGAACTACTAAAATTCCGGAGGTATCAACGGACCGAACAGGTAGGTATCTACATATTAGCCGTTTTCACGACGGTCTATCCGGCGAGTGCACCTAATTTGACCAAATCTGCACCTAATCTCTTTCACAGCACATATCTTCATTTTATGAATTTATTTCAGTGTCTTAATCGATGATGCTGTCTGATAATACGACAAAGCAGGCATGTAAGCAATTAGTGTAACCCTAGCTGATGGCTACTAAGAGACACACTGAACCTGATTTGACCAAATCTGCACCTAATCTGCACCAGATGTGCACCAAATGTGAACCAGATGGTCGTCGTGAAAACGGTTATTAGGTACCCGCTATTCCGTCGTGAAAACGGCTACAGTGATTAATACAGCGATTAATCGCGAATAAAACGTTTGTAGTTCACTCAGCAGTCCTACCTTGAACGCTCTGGAAAGCTGCTACACACAGAATTGATATTAACGACAGCAGCTGCATTGTGTGCAGCGCAGGTGGCTGTTTGAGGCCTAGTGCTCAGGCAAGCTGCCGAGACCGAGGCAAAAGGGAATTATGTAGGTACAGCTCAAATGTGACAGAGCTGTCACCGATCGTCATGACGACAGAACATGAGTCAGTGGTGCCAAAAGGTCACATTTCGGGTCCGGGTTGAGTTTTTCCGCCGCCTATGAACTCATAGAAAAACTGTATTTGTATTTGTTGGTACTGGAAGTGCTTAAAGTTTTCTTCAAACGGGTGTTTGAAGCTTCAATCTTGCTGAGCTCCTTCTTCATGATTCCCCATAGGCTTACGATTGGGATTAGGACAGAGGATTCAATTTGACTGTGGACAATTTGATTTTGATTAGGACAGAGGATTCAATTTGAGTTCCCACTTCATTCCAGTTGTCACCATAACTTCAGCGCGATGACGCTTTGTCAAAGAGTTTCTTTCGTCATGACACCACGTTCAGGTGCGAGTTACGCCTGCCAAACCATAGGCGGTCCCAGGGGGGGGGGGGGGGGGGGGGGGCACGGGGGCCATGGCCCCCCCTTTGGTGCTGAAAGGTGGGGCCATACTATCTTTTGGCCCCACCTTTTCAGATCGATCAAAAGTCCCACAAAAACTTTTTGTACGCTTCATTTTCTTGTTTAATGAAAGGTCTTTCTTGCGCCAGCAAAGGAAGTAAATTTCACTCATGAGCGGGTTCAGTTTCACATTCTGTCAATTTGGCGGTCAGTGTCGCTGGCACCGATTCACGAGTATGGCCGGATGTGAGATGTAGGTACTCTAACTTATGTGGAATATCGGGGTGGGTTTACTTGAGGCTCTCATAGGCACAGCATTGGCTGGCATGAGATCCTCTTTGGCATTTGAGACCCTCTTCGGCACCCTCTTCTACGACACTTAAGTATGACCTCATGGGCTGGTGCTGTGCAACTCAGAGGCCCGGTGTATGCCGGCTTGGTTCCTTAAGGATTAGCGTGGGATCTCCGGGGCCTGCGTATTAGAGATTGCATGAACTAGTATGTGATCTCAGAGGCCTGTGTAATGTGTAAACAGTGGCGGTCGGAGGGGGGGGGGGGGCATCAGGGCCATCCCCCAAAGGCAAATAAGGGGGCATCATATCATTTGCCCCCCCCCAAACAACCGTTGGGCCCCCATGAGCGTATGGGGCCCTGGCCGTTATCCGATTGTCACGAGGCTAAAAAAAAAACCACGCCCAGCTATTACCTAATAGCTCCTACAACGGTCTTTGAGCGTCCTAGTACTTCACTCTGAGGGCCCTTCAGTGGCGGTCAAGCGCCAACATTGACCGCTAAGAGCCCAGATCGACATCTGATGGCCCTCCACTGGCCTTTGAGGGCCCTTAAACCGGTCTCAGGGGCCCCAACCGGCGTCTGAGGGCCTCACACCGGTCTCTGGTGGCCTTATTTCTGTCTCTGGGGTCCCAAAACTAACCTTTAGACGCCTATGAGGGCCCGCACTGGCTGTTGAAGACCCGATGCTGGCCTTTAAGGGCCCGTATCGGACTCTCATGGCCCATCTTGGCCTTTGAGGGCCCTCTGCTGGCCTGTGGGTCCAACGCCGGCCCATGCCGGTCTTTTAGGACCTTAACCCGCGCCCTGGTGGGGGGGGGGCTATTTTTTGCCCCCCTCCAGACTTTTCGATATATCTCCAGAACCGCTGCGCCAATCGTCACCAAACTTTCAGTACCCTCCCGGACATCAATTTTACATATTGTGACCAAAATTTTTTCCAAAGGCTATGATAGGTTGGCCGGAAATGACGTCAGAGTGACGTCATGTTCTGCCGTTTTCGACCCAAAAAAGTGTTTCGCGGGAAGAGCTGTCAGGCCTATAGCTTTGCAAATACAGAAAAACGATAAATACATAAAAGCTGTAGAATTGACAGGGCCACAAAACTGCTATCTCGGATTTTAAAACTTATGGATTTTGACCCCCAAAAATAAAAAAATAGATTTTTTTGAATAAAATAGCCAAAAATCCAAAAAGTTTTTTGAGTTTCGCAAAAACCGGAACATATGTGATAGTCCTTCCCACCTTCTATCCACTTACCAAATTTGAGATTGATACCTCTTTTTTTGGCGAAGTTATAGCGAAAAAACTGTTCAAAATTGATGACGTCAAATTTTCAAACTCCATTTTTAGCAATTCTAGACCCCGTAGCGCAAAATAAAGACCACCATTAGACTCCCCGTGACGAGCTGCATCGAATCAATACCCATTTTATGCAAAACTATCAACTTTAAAATTTGACCTTTTTTGACCTGACCTTTTTTATGAATTTAGTCCGAACCTTTTGATGGGAAGGATTCACAAGGACAGAGCCACCGCTAAGCGAAGCTTGTTGCGGTGACCCTACCCTCTACCCTCCGATCGCGCAATTCCAGTTCTATGGCAGAATTTAGTTTAGTTTAGAGTCCAAAGTCCAAAGTCAGTCAGAGTCCAAAGTTTAACGTGCGCACATAGCAGCGCACGGCCGGTCCCCTCACTGACTTCACCTGGCTACGGCCTGCCACCAACCGCAACCATACCTGTCAGGAGGCCCATAAATGTCAAACGCCCGTCGCGCTTCGAACCCGGACTGTTGTAACCGGGAACGCGTGCTCTCACCACGCGGAGTCCAACGCTCTACCAACTGAGCTACGGGACCGGCGACCATGACCTGACCTTCACCAGAAAGTGGCCTAAGCCGTACCTGATAGTCTTATAACCAACACCATTGAGTTGGAAATGAAAAATTGGCCATAAAACATGCATCGCACCACCGAGTACCTAAAGTTAGGTTCATGTGACCTGACCTGTGACCTGACTTGGTAATGTCAGTGACCTCTTATAGCAACATATGTACTAGGCAACTGACGCCCTATCGCTGATTCTCGACAAAATGCGTTTTCCTCGGCGTTATAGCGCATTCCCTAGTTGACCCGTGAACGGTGAAACATTTCATCTTTGACCTGACCTTTGACGTCATCGATGACCCCGAGGTCAATGAAATTTGGTTTCTATCGACAAATTTGACAGGCCTTTCGAACGCCGTTTGAATTTTGCGGATCCGTCCAGTAGTTTCGGAGATACGAGGGGGGACAAAAAATAGCCCCCCCCCCCACCAGGTCGCGTTATAAACAGACCCCACCAGGGCGCGGGTTAAGCTGACCTCTGAGGGCCCCATGTCGGCCTTAACCCGCGCCCGGCTGGGGGTCCTGGATTTCCACGCCCTGCTGGGGGGGGGGTGTTTGAACACCCCCCCTTGTAACTCGGCTCCTGGGCCACGTAGCGATACGCGGAAGGCGGCGTTCGAAAGAGCGCAAAAAATAATGACGAAATCACTTCGGTCAATTTTTTGGTCAGGTCAAAGGTCAGGTCACCAGAGGTCATTGAAGGCAAAATTTCGCCGATTTCCAGGTCGAATGTCGAAAATTTCCAAGAAGCCAACGCATAACTCGGGAACCAATAGAGCTACAGCGCCGCGGAAAAGTGCATTCGATAGCCCTATTAACGCCCTTTCTGAGTAATTCTCTCAGATTTGACCTAACGTCAACGGTTTTGCCTGCAGGGGGCAAAAACTGCAAAAATAGCCGATTTTTTCGGAAACAGTTTTTCTGCAATAACTTTTGACCCAGGCCTTGTACGAGCTTACTTTCACCGGCATCGTGTTCCTCTCGTCAAGACGCATTGAATGAACTATCACTTGACCTTGAAAGGTCAACTTGAAAATTTGACCTCAGGTCAAGGTCATGACCTGACCGGAAAGGGTCATGTTGCATATCAGTCGATCCGTATCGTCGAGCTGAACACATAAAAGGCGTTTTCATCGCTCTAGCATGCCTCTATCAAAAGTTATTTGCGAAAAACTGTTAGATACCATTCGTGTTCTAAGATGACCTCAGGGCACAAACAAGGGTCACGGACACCATTTTCATGTTCAGTGTGTCTAAACCACTTGTAATTCGGTGTTTGGGAGTGTTTATAATGTCTTTCGTCCAAAAGAGGCGCATTTCAGTTTTCTCCCATTGACTTATAATGGGGAGGTCGCAAAATTGACCTGACCTTAGGTCATCGATATCAAAATTCTGAGATATACATTTTGTACATGCTATTGCTCTTAGCAATCGCTGAAAGTTTCAAAGCGATCGGTCACTCGGTGTAGCTATGACAGACATTGAAACTTTTTATGAGGTGAGGTCACTTCAAGTGACCTGGTGACCTGACCTTGAATGACCTTGGTCTGAAATTTTCACAACATGTGTAGAATTGATGTAAGATAAGGTGTACCAAAAACGGCGGCGCTCCGCGCCGCCGTTTTTGAGATATTCGCGAAAAACCACAAGGGGGGGTGTTCAAACACCCCCCCCCAGCAGGGCGCGGGTTAAGGAGCCACATTAGCCTCTGAGGGCCCAACTCGGTCTCTGATGGTCTCAACCTACTGGCCTTTGCAGGCCCTGTACTAGTCTCTGAGGGCCCTAAACTGGCCTCTATGTAAGTGAAAACATACCTGGGTGGACTTCTGAAGTTATGGAGGACTCACGCAAACTCCTGCAGAGCCTAACGTGTCCCGATGGTTCCGCGCAGATTCCCTCATATTTCGGCGCCGGGGCCCCATGAGCCGGTGTGGGTCCTTGGCTGACAGAGACCGATGAAGTCTCCAGGGCCCAGGGACGGTCTTTTTGGCAGTTGAGGATTAGGCAGGTTGAGTGAGCCCCAATAGAGCCGTTGCAAAGCCCCGCAAGAGTCTGCGCACGGCCCTCAGATGCTAAATTTGAAAGCCAGGAACCTGTGGCGGTCTCTAGAGGTCGGTGTACCTACTCTCTCCCGCAGCCACACAACTATTTCATGGGTAAATGCCATAGTCTAAAAACGCTCTCTTGGTTTTATATGCTGCACCGATCTGTCGCCACGGTGCGGCGGCCTGACCGGTGAGCACACCGTGGGACGGTAAATGGAAAAAATAACCACTTCCATTTACCGTCCCACGGTGTGCTCACCGGTCGGGCCGCCGCACCGCACTATGGTTGGAAACGGCCTCA